CCTTCACTGACAGAGGGTTACCTCTGGGAATGGCCTTACATCCCCTGTACTTTTGAGCTGTCCAGCTCACAGGTAGAGAAATCCTCCCTTAGGATAGAGAAAGCCCTCAGGCCAAGAAGCAGAGATCTGGAAGCGCCAGAAGCGGGAAGGTGGCTTTTCTAAATCTGTGGCACTGTTGTCCAGTGGCCGTGGTCGTGTCGGCACGTGGCTTCCCTGTTAGGTCATCCAGCCTCTCTCTTCTGCTTTGCTGCAGTGACAGGAGCAGAAATCTGAATGCAGAAACATGAGAGAGGTGTGGATGTAGACAAAACGCCCAGGGAGTATGAAGGCAAGCAGCAAAACTGGCTAGAATTGAGCTGGTGGGGGCGCCTGGGTGGCTCAGTCTGTTAAACGGTTGCCTTCAGCTCAGGTCGTGGTCCCAGGGTCCTGGAATCAAGCCCACGAGGGGCTTCCTGCTCAGCAGGGAGCCTGCCTCTCTCCCTGCTCCTCCCTCTGCCCCCCCCCCCATGCTTGCTTTCTCTCTCTCAAATAAATAAATAAAATCTTAAAGAAAAAAAAAAGAATTGAGCTGGTGTTATTAGAGGAAATCCACACACCACACTTGTGTTTATTCCCTTCCTCCTTCCCTTCCCCCAACCCTCTCATCTCTCTCTCCTCCTCTTCCTCCTCCTCTTCTTCCTGTAACCGATTTGATTTTGGTTTAATTCATCTTTCAGATAATACCTACCACAAAGTTTAAGAAATTAATTCAGTCATTTTTAAAGAATTTAGCCTGAGAGTTCCCACAGAATAAAACAAGATACCTTCTTCTAAATGACCTGTCTCCAGATTGCCTTTCCCCCCAGCCCTGGGCTGTAGCAAAAGCAATCACCTGCCTTCAGCGAATACACACAGAATTGCCCAATAAATATGAGTTGCCATGGAAACCGAGCCAAAAGAGACGAGAAAGATGAGGCTGAACATTAAGGATTTGTTTGGCCTTAGTGACTTTTTTTCCCCCAGATCTGAAATTGTTGGGTCTATGAAAACGTAAACCACACAGCTCCCTGTCAGAGATAGACTAAGTGAATCCTAAGCCATCCCTAACTCTTAAGTTTCTGAGCATTTTAGTGCTTTTCACCAGCCCCTTCTATCACTCTTTGCCCCTTTTCCAGGGGCTCATAAAGAGCAATTGCAAATGACCTCTGGGGGCAGCATGTGTTGGTGGGAGTGGCGTGGAGAAAGGGCCAAGGGATTTGGAATCAGACAGACCTGGAGTGTGTGCATCCCAACTGGGCAGTGGTATTTTCCCAGCAGCGTTTTGACACTGGAGACTCTTATTCCATACAGCTATCATGACAACTTATTTTGTGAGTAGAAAAGCTCTCATTTTCTTTAAGAGATGAAGAGTGAGTCAAAGTGTTTTTCCTCAGCACATCTTATTGCTCAGATTCAAATCTGAGACTTATTTCCTGTTAATAAGGATAATTTCCTTAGTGCTATAGTTAAAATATTCTGACACAAGTCATTCAGAGGGACAAGAATTCCCATCTATTTCTTCACAGCCCAGACACATCTTCATGGATTTGGAATGAACCAAGGGATGTTATTACCAATGGTCATATTATTATGTCAAGTGTTCTTCCTTGAGATTCCAAGAAGGCAATTTTTACTCAGGCTTGGGGAGGCCTCATGGAGTGAGGTTAGAATCAGAAATTGGGTGTTTGAGTTTCAGATTGTGGAATTGGTTAGCTAAGTAAACATGGACAGGTACTTACTTTTTTTGAGTCTCAATTTCCCTAAAGCCATAGAATAATTTCTAAATGCCTCATTGGATTGTTGTGAGGTTTCCTTATTCCTAACAGAGGCTAACACTCATGTAGCACATATTATGTACTAAGAATTGTGTCATGCCTCACGTAAGAACTCATGGGATCCTCCAACAACCCTATGGGCAGGTACTTATTATTATCCTGATGGGGGAATTGAACGACAGCAGGGGAACGTCTTGTCCAAGGTCACGCAGCAAGCTAAGCAGCCAAGCCAGGATTCAAACTCAGGAAGTGTGGCTCCAGGCTGTTATGGGCACCACAAAATATTTATTAAGTACTTACTAATGTCCTAGATACTGTGCTAAGCACTTTACAAATAAAGTCTAACTCGTTGCTCCCTAGAAGTCTATGACACAGGGAGTCTATTACTGTCCCCATTGCACAGAGAAGGAAATAGGTTCAGAGCCTAAACTCAAGGGACCTGACCAAAGCCCTATAATTGGCAGGCAGAAACATTCCTTTTTCTCATCATATTTTCCTTCCACCACTTACCTTCCCCTTTCTCTAATTCTTAATATAAATATTGCTTCTTCTGGTAGTCTTCCCTGAGGTCCCACGTAGGCTAAGCTTTCTTTTATATGTACTTGTAATAAGCTGTGTATTTACCTTTGTAGTAGTGACTATAATCTTGTTCAGTTGTCTTTATGTCACTATTTGGTTAGTATCTGTCTCTCCCACCAGCATAGCCTTCACTGGAGACAGGGACCACATCTATGTCTGGCTAGCATGGTATTCCTAGCGCCTTGCACACGCTAGGTATGCACCGAATATTTAATACATTAATGCTTCCTTCACCTTCTTGGGTCGATGTTGATAAACATCAGTACATGAACTGGGCAAAGAGAAGAAAGAAATTGCTGAATGAAATGATAAAGAACAATTTCATCCATTCATTCAGTCTTCTACCAGGAGCCTACTGTGTGCCCATATCTGAGCGAAGGAAAATGATATGTGATTCCATTAGGGGATTGTAATCATAACTTAAAAATTGGCTTTCTAAGGCATTTGCTATACTTGAGAGCTCTGACTAAAAGGCTCAGTGATTAGGAAGGAACTCAATAAAATTGAAATAAAGTATTATCTGGGCAGTAATTTCACAGTAAATTTGGTTTAATAAAAATTTCACATGAATCATTGTTAATTGACACTCAAATACTGTGAACTCTTTAGAAGACAAACGTCAAGGAAATAAATGTTATGCGTTGCTAATTTTAAATGCACTTGCAATATGGTATCTAATATAAAGGAAGTACTTTTATCTGATTTTTGCAATTTATTATCTTTTCCTGCTTTTCAGGTTGAGGAGGCATTATAGTTGCTCATAAGCTTTTTTCTTGCCTTCTGATATAAAATTCTTACTTTGTTCCTACTAAAGGAGCTCTTTAAGAATAAGGCAAAAATTAATTAATTAAACTATTCTTAAAATGTCTTCACACTTAGAGTCTGATTCATTTAAATCACTTTTAAAAATAAAATTTATTTCTTAGAACAAAATAGAGATTTATAGGGAAATTGTGAACATAGTACAGAGAATTCTCATGCACTCACACTCAGTTTCTCCTATTATTAACGTCTTATATTAGCATGGTAAAATTGTTATAATTAATGAACCAATATTAAAATATTCTTATTAACCAAAGACCATACTTTATTCAGATTTCCTTAGTTTTTGCCAAGTTCCCATCCAGGATACCACACTACATTTTGTCCTCATGTTTTCTTAGGCTCTTCTTGGTTGGGACAGTTTTTCAGCCTTTCCTTGTTGTTGATGACCTGGAATACTTTTAGGAGTAAAGGTATTTTGTAAGATGTCCCTCAGTTGGGAAAGGTCTATTTTTCTCATGATTAGACTGTGATTGTGGGTTATTAGGAGGACAACCAAAGAGGTATACTGCCATTTTTATTATATCATGTCAAGGATACATACTATCAACATGGTTTATCAGTCTTGATGTTGACCTTGATCGTCTGGCCGAGGTAGTGTTTGTCAGCTTTCTCCGTGATAGTGACTTTTTTTTTTTTTACCTTTTTCATAATGTATTTTGTAGAAGGAAGTCACTATGAGTCTTCCACACATAAAGAGTGGGAAGTTACACTCCATCAGCTTGAGGGTGGAATGTCTGCACAAATTGTTTGAAATTCTTCTGCATGGGAGATTCTTTCTTTCTTTCTTGTTTCTTTGTTTCTTTCTTTCTTCCTTCCTTCCTTCCTCCCTCCCTCCCTCCCTTCCTTCCATCCTTCCTTTCTTTCTTCCTTTCACCATTTATTTATATTGGTATGGATTCATGGATTTTTATTCTATGCTTTGGGTTATAATCCAACACTAATTATTTTATTGCTTATATTGTCTCTGCTCTGGCCATGGGAGCTCTTTCAGTTGACACCTGTGTCCCTTTAACATATTCCATCATTGTGGGGTCTTTTCTCTGTTCATAAGTTTTTGAAGGACAAGGTCTATGTAAATCTCATTTTGACTCAGCATATTGTGTTTCTGTCCCCATCCCTATCTTTGCCTCCCTCCCTCTCTTTTCCTCTCCTCTTTCTCATTTCTTTATTCATTATGATCTGAAAACAGGAAAGAATATATGATCTCACATTTTGCTATTTGAAGGTAAATTAATTGTCCTTGGAGCCTAGCCATTGGTTCTCAAATGTTAGTGTGCAAAAAATTAACCTGGAGAGCGTGTTAAAATGGCCAGCCAACATTTTGACTTTTTTATATAAAGGAAGGGGCTGATTAGGATTCTGTGTGTTAACAGGGACCCCCAGGAAATAATAATGGAGTTCTTTGAGGGCTTTGCTTTGGAAAGCAATGAGTCTGAGGGCAGATAGTTGTTCTGATACACACATTTTTTTTCCCTAGTAGCCCGTCATACTATTTGGACATATATACCCACTGTTTGTGATAAAAGGGATATAGATTTGAGGATTTTCCAACACAAAAACTATTTTGCTGTAGGAAAGAACCCTAAAATATTCAAGAATTATGCTCAGAGTTAGTTTTACATTTTAGCATTTGAGTTCATATAAGGTCCCACTTTTTTTCCTGCTCAGTATAGAGTGTTTAGGACCCCACACAGTATTTTAGGTCTGGGAGGGAACTGAGGGATCATCAGCTCTGGTCCTCTCTTCTCCTAGGGCACAGAAAAGAAACTGCGAGTCCTGGAGGATTGGATTGTCCAAGGTCACATGCTTCTTGGTGGTGGAGCTAGGTCTGGAAAAGGTCTTCCCAGAGATTGTTCCTTTGAGACAGATATAATTGAACATAACCGGTTTAGGTAGGTTTTTGTGAAATAGACAATTTTGGATTACTCTTTCTGTTTTTGTATTTTTATATCAAGGTACAACTGCATCTGGGTTTCAGGCTTATAACTTTTGTTAGTTATAAAAGTAGATGATGTAAAATATCAGTGTTGCCCACTTGAAGTTCTCTGTTTAACTATTTTTAAATCGAGTTTTAAAGATATTAAAACTGGCACTTAGTTCTTGGCTTGGCCAAACTTAATCTGAGTCACGTCGGCTTCTACGATAATACAGGCAACTAGATATAGAAGGATTAAGACTTGGAAAGTGAAAGGGTGGGCAAAGTCTCATGGTAGAGGTGTTTCTGGGGAAAACCCTTGTTTAATTAATTAATCAGGCAGGGTTGTGATGACACATACGGAGACACAACTCCTATCCCCTTTAGGATGTTTCTATAAGATGGAACTAACTGGCAGAAGAAAGACCACCTTGATTGAATGTTTCACTGGGTGCCTGAAGCTGTGAGGTAAGAGAACTCTGGACTAGAATTGAGTTTGGCTTTGCCCCTGACTACCTGTGTGACCTTGCTCAGGGCATGTTACTTCTCTTGTCTGCTCAGTTTCGTTATCTGTAAGTTGAGGGGATTGGTTTCCAGTAACACTGTTCATTAACCCTTCATATTTAAAGGTGCCACGATTATGGATTTGTCACCTCTGGACCATCACTAATAAATACCACAAAAAGTAAATTCATTTATCTCTCCCTCTCTCTTTTTTTTTTTTTTTCCCATTCTGGAACTTTGATTTGGCTTTCAGAATACTTAGTTATTTATTTATATTTTTTAAGATTCTATTTATTTGAGAGAGAGAGTGAATGAGAGAGAGAGAGAGTGCACAAGCCAGGGAAGAGGCAGAAGGAGAAGGAGAAGTAGACTCTTTGCAGAGCAGGGAGCCCGATGTGGGACTTGCTCCCAGGACCCTGGGATCATGACCTGAGCTGAAAGGCAGAAGCTTGACAGCCCAAGCCACCCAGAATCTTAGTTATTTGAACTGGGAAAGAGTTTCAGGTCAATCTCCATTGACATTTGTAACTTATTTTATGATCTACTAAAGGCCATTTCATAAATGGAGTGCTCAGGACTGCAGAGCTGGCTGACACCTTTAAGCTGGAAAAGAGATGGTATCTCAAGAGGTATTATTTCCTGTCATGGCCACGTACCAGAGGGCTGTGGGTGTGTGTGTGTGTGAGAAAGAGAGAGAGAGAGAGAGAGAGAGAAGAGGTTGTTGAATAGAATTTGGAAGCAGATCCTCTCTATATCTATATTGATCTATGTCTATTTCTCTCTCTTTCTATACATATCTATTTCTATCTATTCTATATATCTCTACCTCTATAGAGAGATCTATATAGAGATATAGAGATTAGATATAGAAATATTTATTTTTCAGGGAAACTCTCCAGAATGAGGGAGTGTGTGAACCCATCATATTCCTGGTCTCCAGCTTTGACCGCTTATTGCATGACTTCCCAGAGCTTAGGAAGTGCTTGCACAGAGACATGTCTGACATAGGGTACCATGGTCTCCTAGAGGACCTGCCTGAAAATAATGAGAAGGTCATTAATGACAAAGCAATCACTTTGCAAGGGCAAATAGACTCAGAGTCTTTGCAGGGAAACTTTGGATTCCAGAATGCAGATGATGGGGAGTTTTTGAAAGCTTCCCGCTCACTCTTTGGTGTGGATGATGAATCTTTCCAGGAAGTGGTGCAGAGTATGGGAAAACCCATGGAGGAGTACAAGGCCATTATAAAGTCTCAGGATCTGCACACTGTCCTCACAGGGGACTGGGCATTACCGTGCATGAATTGTAATAGAGCTTCTTACTTATATCCAATTCTGAGCTACATCCCAATCCTAGGTAACACTAGTATCCCCACCTTAGATGGTGGAATCAGGGTCACCTCCTTGAAATAGTTGCTGAGGACACCAAGACCATCCTGAAGAAAATCCTGACAGAAGCCATCATCTGAAAAGTGAGCAGACTCAGCAGACTCCTTCTTGGGGAAAGTCAGGACATCTGGGGTCCTCTCCTCACGCTGTACCCTTCAGAATTCTCAATCAGCTCAATACTTCCACTTTTGTCAGTTCTAAGTTCCTTGAGGTAAATGAGCAGACTAGATCGTTTTGAACCTGCATCTCAGCAAATTTCCAAATATTTTCTACTTCTTCTCATTTATTAAATGAGCTGAAATCCAAAGGTGGAAGAAAAGATTGCACAGTGTGACATACAGTCTCATTCTGACATTCCCATATCACTGAATGTCAGCATCATTTTTCCGAGGCCTCTTGGTTTTCCCCTGTTCCTTCACTTCTCACTTCTCAGTCCATGACCTCACAGAGGCATACCTGGAGGCAGAGGAGAGAACATCCTTTGGGATGTTCCCTTTGGGGAAATATGATGGAGAGTGTGTGTTTAGCTGTTCTCCAAGGCCAGTCTAGTGCCCTGTAAAACTCTGCCCTTATAGCTGTCCTCAGCAATTGCCCAAATCATTTGTACCCAAAAAAAGATACAGGGGATGGACTCAAGGACCATTTTACTGGGATTGGAAAATTGTTGAATGGAAAAGCAAATCTGACTATTATAAGTACCAAACACTGTCCCCTCCCCCCCCCCCCCCCCCGGCCCACACCAAGAGGTCCCATGCTCTTCACAGGCACAGGCTCATGCTGGGCCTGTCATAGGAAGTAGTGCCTGTTAGATTATGTTTGCTGTACAGAAATATTTGCTCACTTAAATTACCTGCTGTGTTCTGTTATTTGCCAAAGTTATCTCCTATGTTGGTCAAAAGAAACTAAATTTGAGCATCAGCATTAAGGAAACTAACTTACTGTCTATGATCTCACTGTTTATACAGTTAACCCATACTATATAGACTCTATGAAAATTCTCCTAATTGGAAACCATTCCAGACCCTAAATCTAAATTTTTCTCCTTGCTGGGCATGGAGAACCATAAAAAAATGGTTTTTTATTAAAAAAAAGAAATATTTATTTTGTATATTTAAATATAAATCTATACCAATGTTTATAGATAATTATATTACCATTAATATATTTAATAATAAGTATATTAAATATAAACACATATTTCTCCTGCTGGGTTAGATCTATCAATAGATCTATCTATCCCTCTATCATCTAGGTAGCTAGCTAGCTAGCTATATCCCAGGAAGAGAAAAACATAAATCAAACAGATGGGAATGCCCCTCTCCAGAATGTGTCATACAAGAAGGTGGGCAAAAATGTTTTGTATTTTCCTGATGTGCTGATGCGATTAACCTATGATGTGATGTGGGCCCGTGGTCAACGGTCAAGGAAGAATTCTTGAGATGTTTTCCATGAAAAAGGTGTTTTTATTAAAGCACAGGGACAGGACCCCTGGGCAGGAAGAGCTGCATGCACTGGGATTGTGAGGAGCATTGGTTATAAACTTTTAAGTTGGTTGAGCATGGGAGGCTAGAGATAAAGGAAGTTTCCAAAAGGATTTTCATATGTTAAAGACTAACAGGGTCCTGGAGCTCTGGCTATTGTCAAACTAAGTTTGCTTTTTGCCTCTAGCAAAGCATTAACTTTAAGGCCGCTGTGAGTTCTTTAAGGAATGTCCTTCTCTGCCTGTCTCTAGTACTTGTATACAGGCTGCTGAGTTAGAAATGTAATTTTATCTACATTTCTTTTGCTTTTGTATTCCTCATCACCGGGGTCTTCTCTCCCTCCCTGCATCTCTGGGTTGTTTGGTCTTTTGTGGTGAAGAACCCAGAGGACATGAGGCAGGAGAAAGAGGGTGGAATGGGATTAAGCCAAGGAAGGAATTTTCCAGGGATCTTGGGTAAGAGAAGCGCAGCAGACAGAATGGCAGACAGATGTGGCTCTGAGAAAAAGTATGCTAAGAAACATGGTCACTGTTTCAGTATTCCCTCCCCATGATTTGTGAAATCCAATGACTTCAAAACTCCTTTTTGCTTCTGGACGCTGTTTTGGACCGCAATGCTGCTTGGTGCTTTGTGACTGACCTACACAATCAATGGCTCAATTAAGTATCACAATAGTTCAACTCTGTGGAGAGAACCCAAGTATGAAGGGGAACTTTGGACTTGATTGTTTTGCTCTCGGAAGTCAGCTTTAAGGCTCCTGATATGATGTTCAAAAGGCTGGGGGTAGTACTCCAGGGGCACAGATCAGAAACCCATGGGGCTGGGGCCTGTCTCTGTGTCTGCCATAGAGAAGGCTCAAAAGACATCTTTTTGGAATGAATGGGGGTGTTGAATAAATAGGAGAATCTGTGTATGCAGGGTCTGGTTTAGGTCATTGATTCCTATCTAGTGAGGGGCATTAAACTAGGGAATGGTTCTCTGAACAAGTCCTGGGAGAATGTGTCCTAAGTTATTTGAGAGGGAGAAAGTAGTAAAATATGTACGGAGTTGGAATTGAGAAAAATATTAAAATTGTATGGGAAAATAGAGGTGTTGATCATGGAAGTGGGTTTCTTGCAATTTACTCACTTATAGCTTGTATATTCCGAATAGAAAAAAAGAGATGGAAGGTCCTGCCTCTATGTGAGGTCATCGATTTCATCTGCAAAAAAGGAATAATACTGTCTGTCCTGCAACATTGTCATGAGGACTAGAAGTGATGGATGTTGATGTAAGGAACTGATAGGCCCAGGCATCGTAAAATGTAAAAACAACACATTTTATTATTATAGCTACCATTATAGCAGTGATCAGCCAGTCCCATTTTTCAATTCTTTAACAAACAATACCACCCCCGATCCTATGTCTTTCTAGCAAAGTTTTATCTGGGTTGGTGTACCTACCAGATAAATGCTGTAGGTTGGGGACTCCAGGCTGCCCCGAAGGCACATGCTCTGAGCCCTCCAAACTCCTCCAAACTCCTGGCAGCCTGGAAACCACCAAGCTGGTCCGAGGTCACATTCACAGCTGTGGGAACCGAGTGCCGGAGGCAGTCATGATTTACTGGCTCAGAAAACCAGTTTTCTCCTGAAGCATCTGAGTCAGGGAATTGGTTTTTCTCAGAGCAGGGTGAAAAAAACATTGTTACATGATCGGGATTTCTCTGATCCCCAGAAAAATGCTTACCCTTTTTTTCTTTCTTTTTTCTCGCTCTGCTTGGCTATTTCTCTTCTCACCCTGCCCTACTCCCTTTAGTAATTAGTTTTGGAAAGAAATCACTCACATAATGAAAATGATCTAGAAACTCAGATTTAAAAAAAAAAAATTCTAGCCAACATGCTTATGTGTGATTCAAAGTTGCTTTAAACCTACAGAAATTTGTTTGCACAAATTAATAACAACTTTTAATAAACAGACTTTACTGTTCACTGCTAAAAATATTCCAGTCAAGCTTTTAGTTGAAAAGAAAGATATGATAGGAATCTATCCCCATGGCAACAGGACTTTTAAAAGTAGTTTATGTTACAACAGTGATCCCTGACAGCTTTTGAAGATGTTTGAGGGTTTGTTTTTCATGACTACCTTGGTGAGAGGGAAAGGAATAGAAAGGACACAAAGCTGAATATGCAGATTTTGAATTATCAGCTGGGGGAGCCTTAACTTCATTATATTCAGAGATGAACTTAAAAGGTGCTCATGATGATAAAACTGGAAGTCTTTAGGAAGGTAAATTGCCTCCTCCATAGGTAAGCTGCCAAACCTTGTGGATTAGTCTCTCTGCCTGAATAGGAGACCACATGCAAGGGCTCGATAAGAATAATAAAGGTTTGTAGTTATTTAGAATTCATCTTGAGTCTAAACAAGTTTCCCTGGGCCATCTCACCAGTCAAGGGAGACTAAGAATTAGTGTCAGGTAAAAAGATGTTGTTGTATAAATGGCAGGTCTTACTAGAAAGTGTGTTTCAGTGCTGGCTCGCTCCATTTCACCATGATAGAGACCTTAACAAGCCATCCTGTAAGGTGCCCTTCGCAGCCCCAGTGAGTCTCGAGGGGAGTCAGGCAGAGTCAAGAGGGGAGCTCATCTTGGGTAACCAGGCTCTTCTTCAAGTGACCATTGGACCAGGTCTGGGACTCAGACTTCGATGGCAAATAAGCACCTAAGCAAGGAAACCAGAGCCCAAGCTTCTATTTTAGAGTACAGACACAAATTGAATGCAACTCAAGGCACCCCTTTATTCCTATTATTTTCTGGTTTTGAAGGGGAATATCTCTTATTGTTGAAAATTTCAAGATGTACAAAAAAGTTTAAGGGAAACATCATCCATTATGACCAGCCAGAGGTGATATCAATCTTATTTTAACATTTTTCTGATGCACCAGAGACAGACTTTTAGAAGGGAAAGGTATCTTTTAAGAGTCAGGTTGCCAGCCCCTTGGTTTATAGATGAGGACTGTATTCAGGAGGGTTAGCCAGTGCTGAGCTCATACAGCCAAGTGCACCCAAGCTCACAGACTGCTCATCCAGAATGTTCTGCCCAGCACCACGCTGCCTCTCGTGCTCAATTATTTTATCTTCTAGGTATTTCAGGAAAAACATTAAAACTTCCAATCCTCAAGATTGCTCAGAGAACAACAGCTTTGCAGAAAGCAAACACCTATTCGGAGTTATCATCAAAGCCTGAGCTCTCTAACTGGGATTACCTAAATGCATTTTATAGCTAGGGCAAAGTCTTTATTAAAAAAAATTAATGGTAAAGCTGGGCCAAAAAACAGTGCTTCACCTACAAAGTACATTTATTTTTTCTCCAGCTATGTGCTTGAGCTCCCGAATTTGGTATTTGAGAAAGAGGACAATGGAGCTGCAGTTAAATAATAAAATAGCCTTTAATTCCAATCACCATGGGGGATGCCACAAGAGCTGTTCTGAGGAATTAGGGACCCACCAATCCAGGGACTTTTTTTTTTTTATTTCGAAAGCTCCATTCTTCACCATATCAAACATATTAAAATACACCCACTTGGCATATTACAAATTATTTGGGGCTACAACATTGATGAAA